AAAAAAGAAAAGAAAAAAAAACATTAACACGACATGACTATTTGTATAATTAAAATTATTTTGAAAATATAATCATATTAATGAAAAAATTCTTTTTCTATACAACTCTTATTAATAAAATAATTATAAATAAAGAAAAACTATCAAAGTCTCACCTTGTAAATTAGCATCTCTATTAAGAAAACCCATGGCTGTAAGTTGTTCTAATTGTGCTCTGTAACGTTCTTCTGGTGGAGGTACAGGTTGACCATCAACTTCTACGCCTTGATTTAATGCCATTGCAGAAACCTAGCACATATAAGAAATATGATTTGATAGATAAGTAATGATTTATGAAGAGAAAACTGAATGTATTATATTATACAATCAAATAGATATGCAGAATGTTTCTTTATTACATTAAAATACTAATAACGTATAATTTTTTTTTACCTTCAAAGAGTATTGTTTTGAAAGAGCATTATCACATATTTAAAAACATAATTAAATCAGTTTTAAAAATATTATTTAAATTTATCTTTTAAGAAAAAAAATTAAATTATAAATTGATTGTTCTTACCATACGTGCCATGAATTGAGAAAATGCGTCCTGTTGATTTGTGTCCGATGGTTGACTGGTTGGTACAGTGGAATTTGTGCTGGTCGTGTTCGGTGTTGTGGCTGCAGGTGGAACCGTGAGACCCATACTGAAACACACACGCACTTATAATCACGCGCCAACAATGACCTATACGACTAGTGATATAATATGAATAAAGAAACTTACTTTTCCACGAGTTCGGGAGCGATGGTGCGCAGCTGCTCCATACCTCGTTGAATTTGCATGATGGCAGCGAGAGCATCCGGATTGGTGACGACGCTTTGTATTTGCGGATTCTGCATCTGTTGTATAAAGGCGGGCATCATAGCGCGCATTTGCTCTTGCATCTGTGGATTGCCACGGAGGAACGGATTCGCCGCGATCACTCGGCTGGCCATCGCTGGATCGGCTGCCATCGCTTCCAACATGGATCTCGTATACGGAGCATTCAACATGTTTCGCATCAATTGTGGATTTTCCATCATTTGCGCGGTAAGACTCTGCATGCCTGGCGAATCCAGCAAACCTCTGCCTTGACCCTGTTGTCCCGTACCGCTGTCGTTCTGACTTTGATTCCATGGATTCGGCAGCGGATCCCTATTCTCCTGACCCTGCTGTGGATTCTGTGAATCCTGATTGGAACTATTCTCCACAAGAGCAGCGAAGGGATTACGACCGTTTGTCGCTGCTGCTAACATTGGTTCTTGAATGTCGCGATACATGCGACGTAGAGCGCTGTAACCGCCGGGTATGCTTTCCAAATTAGACAAAGCTCGATCGTGTGAACGCATCAGTTCCTGTAGCATCGATGGATTACGTGCTAACTCCATCGTTTGCCTGTGAATTAATTTTTAAGAATAACATTGTATAATATTTCACAGTGATTAATTTGAAGATATAAATGGAAAACATATTTGAGAATCGAGAAATGTATAGCGTTGAAAAATATAAATCGCGTTCCAACTGAAAAAAAAGTACAAAAATATTTGTTTTATGACAATCTCTAATCCAAAATGTAATCTTTAATTCCGCGCAATATACTTAAATAGATTCGTAAATTAAATATTCGAGAGGGTAAAACGGATATGCTCGGTGCTATTGTATTCAAATTAGCCTTTAAATAGATTTTGATTCTAGTTTAAATTGTAGTATATTTTTGTAATTCATATAATCGTTACTTACCACATAATCGTTACTTACCGTAGAAGTTCAGGATTATTCAACATATGACTGATTTCCGGATTACGTTGCATCAATTCCTGCATTTGGGGATTGGCGGTTACCAGATTGCGCATATTCTCTGGATCGTTCATCAGACTCTGCACTAGGGGATTATCGAGCACTTGACGCATCGTTTCTGGATTCGAGAGTAATTCTCGTTGCATGCGTTGTTGTAAGTCTATAAAGTTGGCTGATCCTAAGCCAAGGGACTCTAATCCCATCAGTCCACCCAAGCTTCCCAGGCCAAATGGACTGGCGTTGACATCAGCTGCAATACATAATACCATTATCAATATAAGTATTCATAATTATTATAAATTATCTTATGGGATATATATATATATATATATACATGCTTACATCTTTCAAACTTAAATATTCCTGCTAGATATATTCAATTTCAATTTGATATAATTTATCAAAAATATAATTTATCAAAATGTTGTGTTGAAAATATACAAGGTTCAAAATTAAATTTGCAAATTGTTTTTACATAGATAAAACGAATTGTTGTGTAACTCGTAGATAACATGCTGCATATTTTACAATACTGCGATTTAAGTTCATCGATGCACCCAATGTATTAATCTTAAATCTGACGGAATACCTTGTGGTCTGGAGGCCTGATTAGATTCCTGACTCTGTGTGGTGGCGGTACGCGGCGCCTTGATTACCAGGTGTACCGCCAGGCCGTCCTTGATGTTGTGCGTACCGAGGGTCTCGTGGTCCTTCATGATCTTGCCGGCGAAGATCAGGCACAGCTGATCGGCCTGTGCGTTGAACTTCTTGGAGACCGCTTCCTTAAACTATTAGGCGCGGGAGAGGAGGAAAGGAAAAGGAAACAAATGAGATTAGAAATGTGCCGAACTAACCCAAGTCGGTTTGACAGCTGATGCCTGGCGATGTGCCAAGAAAGTAGCGATAGCACAGCAAACGACACCGAGAATCTAGCTCGTTATCGTCTCATCGCTTACTCACTTCTTTTATCGTCGCATTCTCCTCGATCTCCACGCTCTGCTTCTCTTTCGGGGTTTTCACGTTGACGGTGATCTTTTTCGGACCACCCTCCTGCTGGCCTTCTGCCATCTTGGATCGGTAGATGACTCGTTACTTTCGACGCTCGCGCGATGTTCGGTACGCTCGCTCGTTTCTCTCTCCCTCTTTCTTTCTCGCTCGCTCGCTCGATCTAGACACGTCTCTTTCTATCCTCGTTTCTCTGTCTCGCGCGATCTAACGGAGCACGGAATTGCGCACCGTGTAAATACACACCCGACGACACGCACGGCACGGCGACGGCGACGACACTCCCTTGCGCTCGCGATCCGAACGTCCGCTGCGCCCGACGCAACACTACGGGGAACTACGTCGGATTTTTTTCACTTACGATGTTCCGTGTGGGCCCGCGGAACTAGACGGACCTCGCGGCCGGACGGTGACCAACATGCACGATGCTCGACGTTTCGCGCTCGGCCATCACGATACGAACACGCGCGTTAGATAGTTGAACGTGATCTCGCGCGCGAGATTCGCGAGTTCCGTCGGCGTTCCGCGTGCGGTATCGGCTCCGCGATGCGCTTCCAATCCGCGATAAAGGGCCACGTAAACCGCAACGATGACGGAGCTAACGGCGAGGGCGGCTAGGTTATGTCGCGCTGCTGCCACCACCGCAACGTAAAAGTACTGGCCTCGGCGACACGCGCGCTGCTCGATTGCGCCTCGATCCCGCCGCGGGAATAATCGGAGTAATGCGCGTCGGACGCGTGTCCACTAAACTCGAATCGCACAAACGCGCGCGCAGAGCCCGTGGTTCTCCTCTTCCTTCCCCCGTTCCTCGCCTCCTCTCTTCCTACCCACCCGACGAAACAGATAGCTCATCAAGGCTATCTTCTTTTTTGTCTACTATCGCAGTAAACGTATTATTTTCAATTGAAAATCGTTGTTTCCTTTCTTTTCTATTTTTCATTTTTAACTTCAAAATGGTCATGGTCCTAAAATTTTTATTTTCCTTTTCTTTAGCAACTGATTTAAAATGTTTTTTTTGGGGGAACTTCATATAAAAAAAAATGTTTGTTTGTTTGTTTGTGTGTGTGTGTGTGTGTTATGTGTAGCTTGTGGTACTACTTGTTATTTACTTTTACTTCTCTTACTTAATGCAGTGTTAAAGATTATTTTGAATTCCATCGTACACTTATCTATATTCGCTTTCTTTCTTCGCGATGACTTAATGAAAGCACGGTCAACACGAAAATATAGATCGAAGTAATCGATTTGTTTGATAGAAACAATAAAATTCTTATGTAAGATTAGACATATTTTTTTTCACGTTTACAAAGTTATCTCGAGTTTAGATAATCTTTTTATTTCAAATTTGTAATCGTCGATTAAATCATGCTTTCTGTTCTTCGGCAGCGTATTAATTCACGTCTGCAAATAGCCGCATCTCGCCAGGTAATAGAGGGCTAGTGAGAGAACATGTTGATGAGAAAACATATCCGCTTATTTAAAAATGTTTACTTAAAAATACAATCTTTTTTAAACATAAATGGCAATACGAATGATTAGAAAGAGAAAAAAATGTCGTTCTATTACTTAGAGTTCTTCTGTGTGCGGTGGAAAATGACATTTTTTATGGGCAGTACGAGAGTACTCTGTCGATTTTCCGTTTCGTATGCGCGGGTTTCCAACCCTCATGCCGTGGCTTGTCTTTTGGTCGGCTGAGAATCCGCTTACGTAGCACCCGAACGATGAGCAATACCTCCGGATGAGATCAGCGACAGATAATCACGCAAGGGTGATGTATTTTGCTCAACCGTAACTCTTAAACGACGATTTCCATTTTATTTGAAATGATTCTATATGCTCAAGATTAACACCTGTAAAAGAAGAAAAATAAATATATATATTAGGCAAATATTAGACATTTTGCTGAAGAAAAAAAAAAGTAGAATAGTTACCTGCACTTTTTGCTAATCCATCAGGACTGAAAGTCAGAGCTTTCCTATCGTCTGGTTTACAACCAGTCAGAAGGGTCACAACCGGTACCTCCCCGTCACCGGTAAAACCCACTTTTGCCTGCTGAGTAAGGTAGTGACAGCATTCTATTATTTGGAAAAACAACCATGCTTCTTTGTCCTTTGGTCTTGGTCCTTTTATTAATGGTAACGCCAAACGCTCGTGAGGTCTTTGCGCCCGTAGGAATCTTGAGCCGCGCCTCAATTGAATTTCCAACCACCGTGTAGCTTCTCTCGCCTGGGCGCTTACGCGTTTCACCTCGTCCAAAGCAGAAACGACTGTAAATATAGTTATAGCATTAAACATATGTATACTTAAGACACAAGTGTGTTTAGATATAGCGTTTAGATTAAAATTTTTTTATTCTACATTTCCAACAAACATAGCTTTACTTACCAACCGCGGGAATCACTACTATAAACTTCTTTGCGTACACCAAGCGTTTAAGAGCCGGCGTATGCTTAGCTAAAGCTTCATGATCGGGGACGAGATACGGCGATATCAATCGAGATCGTAACTGGCTTTCCAGAGCTCGAACCTCAGCGTTTAGCCACAATCTACCCATGTGTCTCATAAGCTTTCCTTTCGAATGCTCCGGCCCAAAGTTTTTGTCATCCAGACCTGTTACTTTAGGGGCATTCGAGAGATTCGCGTCCGTTACGACGAACAATCGTTCGATTCGATTGTATCGTACTCTTGAATCTTCGACGGAACAGAGATGATGTCCAAACTCAAGTAACTTCAATATCCTCAGCAACGTTTCTTCCCGCTTGTTCATTTTGTGTTTACGTAGTATTTGCCAATCAAGAGATTTATGTGCGTTTTCCAGCAAGTTCAATCCTCGGAGGTCAATATCCTCCGGTAGAGGTATTATCTTCACGCATTCTTTTAATCTTTCCACACTCGATAAAATCGTGGAATCCTCATGTCCTTGTACAACAGCTTCGATATCCACGTCAATCAGATTTAGTAAAATCGTAACACGCTTCAGTAATGTCCGTGAACTCTTGGCGCATATTCTTATGATGTCAGGATTACTTCGTAACCAATCACAGCATACTTTGATAGAAACAAGAATCTCCTTGCCGATCAACATGTTTAAAATGTCGTCCGGCTTTAAACTTCGCTTCTTCAATTGTGCCATGTAAGAGATATCCGCGTTACACATGCCATCATTACCCTCCTCCAAAGTGTTAGTTGAATTTGTGTTCATCGTCACGACGCTGCTGGAATTCGTTATGGAATCCTTATCACTTGTTTTCGAGTCCGTCTGCTGATCGGTGGTGTGCTGTTGACCGTTAACCAAATGGCTTGTATTATCCTTGTCACAATTTTCAGATTTCTCAGTGACATCGCTACTATGACCATTCATCTTTTCTTTCGTTATTTTCACTGCGTTTTCGCTAGATTCGATTTTATTTTCTGGCGATGATTCCTCGTCCTCCGTATTATCGTCCGATAATGCGTCGTTTCCTTCACTCAGTGCATCATCCTCCTCAGTCTCGGACACATCAGAGTTGATTTCATCACTAGATGATGCCAATGTTGACTGATCTATATCGCTCGCATCCGAATCGGAACTAGTTCTCCTTTTTCGTCTACGAAGCTTATTGAGAAGATTTTTCGATTTGTCGCGAATCTTTTTGAGACCTGGTTTATTCACGATTCCATTATCGGATGATTTTTTGTTATTCTCATCTAAATTGAGTATATTATTGTCTTTGCTCGAAATAGAATCCTTTTCCTCTATATGACCTCCATTTTCCAATTTAGATGACTCCTGATCCTTTGCTTGCACAATTGCTTCTACATCAGGCATTCCCATATCTATAATCGTTTCTTGTAATTTCTTTATTATAAATTCTAACAATTGTGACAGTATTGCTAAAGTTATAGCAACAACACCCTGTACTTCATTGGATTCTTTGTTCTTTAATCTAGAAATTGACATTAGGCATATTGTCACAATCTTAAATATCATATCGTCTGTTAAGTAAAGCGTTGGTCTGTTTTTACAATTTTGAAGATATATTTCTATATTATCCACATTTTCTAGACAATTTGTATTATTTGGCTCGACTTGTTCCGCTGCTAAACAATTCTCAATATCAGTTAAGAGATCCTAATAAAAAGAGAAATTAACCATTGCAAATTATGAAAAATTAATAAATATCATATTGTATATTAATTACATACCTGGCATTCTTGATTTATTCTGTCAGAATGTGGATTTTCAAAATCCCATAAACGTAATAAAGAAAATAATCGCGATACGCAATGATGGACAGAATTGCTTTCGTCCGTATAAGTAGAATGAGTTATTACGATTTTTTTTAGATTTCCTTCTGCTCCTTCGAATGGTTCAGGACACAAAATGCTATAAAGTGATTAAAATTATAATATTAATTAAAAAATTTTATACAGTAATAAGAAAATAAAATTACTAAGTATAAATTTATAAATTAAAAAAATGAATTAACATTATTGCACAATTGTTTAACACTAACCTTCTCATGTAATGATAGACTGCATCCAGCCCATAATTTTTATTGCCTGCTATAGTACCTAACTGATTGTGAGGCATACCAATATTTGGATCAATGGCTATAGCCATCTTATAGTACCTGTTTGCTATCATTGGATCCCAGTTTGAATTTATTTCTAATTTGTACCTGCTCAGGTCTCCAAGACATACTAAACTTCGATGAATCAAGCGCACGACGCATTGTTTGACTTCCTTGGTATGAGTTTTAGATTGCCCGGTTTTAATTCTTGCCTGTTATAAATTTAGACTCTTCTTACTATTGTAAATCACAACGTTTTATATGTACAAGACAAAAATAATTGCTATAACTTATATATAATAATAGTTGGTTCATAATAATTTACTTACATATGATGAAATACTTTCATTCTGAATAAACGCAAAATCGACAACACCAACAAGATCTAGATCATATTCCATTTGTAGTCTCAGTATCAGATGATGATAATATCCCACACCCACTTCCAAATGGACCGATAGCAACATTTTTTCCAAATCATTCCAGATATTACCCTGAAATATTGTTATAACATTGATAGTTACTTGTAGAACTCTAAATTAGAAAGTATTATGTATAGAAAAAATAAATATATATATATATATATATATAATATATATAATGTTTATGATTATTATAAACCAATATAGCATAGAACATAAATATCACCTTCCGTAATTTTTTGGCTGCATATACAACATCGTAAAAGGCTTTTCTCCAAAGTAATTCTTCTATCTTATGTACGTTTCCAACAGGATCTTTCAGTATCAGCCTCTCACAATAATCCTTTAATTTCATACGTTGAATTTCCCCAGATGGGACAAATATGTCGCTTACCGTCAAGGCACGATTCTTTTGCTCATCCAATTTCTTGACGATTTCCGTCACGCTCCTTGCAAATTAAATGTACGTTTAAAAAGTGGATCAACACGTTTGCACCGCGTGAAGGTCATTATCAAAGGTATATGCCTGACTGCATAACTTTCTTATTTATTAACTTTACCCTGCTATCAGAGTATCAAATGCACAATATTAAAAAGATAAAAAGGCTTAAATATTTTATCGAAACCAGAAATGAAAATCAATCGCTTTGGATTGTTGCATAAAATTTGCGCAAACCACGATATATCGAGGAACGCGTGAGAGAAGAAACAAGCATGGCGATGTTGAAGGACGGTTAGGTTTACGCTTCTCGAGATCACGCGTTTCGTTTTCTCCCAAATCATTAAAGGCATTTTAAAAGCATTTTTTTCCTTCCACAGTGCAAAGTTTGAAGAAAACGAGAGGGGGGGGGGGGAATAACATATCTCTACAACGGGGTTGCTTACTTATGCAGACGTCTCGTGGCTTCGAGGCAGTCCGTTGTTCGGGCCTCCACCGTAGTGTTATAAGACCTTCTCATTTTGTGCTACTCATGACCCGCGTTCCGGCCAACTCGTCGTTACTCATTGCCCCGCGGTCCCCTGGGACGCGCATCTCCTTCGCAGACTGAGATACCTCGACATTCGTCGTCCCGTACGTCGACACACGTCGTCGTCGCTACTTGCACAGTGTCCTCTTCCTCTTTCCGTTGTTCCAAACGCGACGCCCATCCACCGATCGCAGCGCGCCAGCACGATGACGACGATTCACCTCCACGCCGAATGGCTCGGTGACGCACGTGATTGTTCCTTGTCCGTTGGATCCAGTTTTCGGCAAATCGCCGTTGCGCCACGCGATTAGTGGCCGAAAAAGGGAGACTCTGGTGATTTTTCTCTTTGATTGATTGCGATATTCGTAGTCAGTTCTTCTGTATTTAGGATCGTCTTAAAATTACATTTCAACTAATAAGATAGCCATATAAGTTTATTTAAGACAATTTTTTATATAAATTTTATATATAAAAATGAAGTATGAATATTAACCTAAGAATATATATGAATATATAATAATAGTAATAATAATAATAATAATAATAATAATAATAATAATAATAATAATAATATGTATTACCATAAATATATATATTTTCGTAGTCAAAGATTTTTTCTACTCGACAGCTTCTTTTTTTTTCTTCTTGGATTTCTGACCTAAAACTACCATACTTCCAAAAATCAAATTTCTTTGCGAATAGAAAATGGAAAGAATTCAAGCAGATAAATTATTTGCTCACTGTGGATGTTTTCCAGCAAGAAACGTGTACAAGTATCATATGATTGATTATCCAACATTACATTTTTTAAGTTCTAAAATTTCTCTAGTCAACAGCCAATCGTGTGATATTATGTATATGCATGTTTACCTTCAAGAAAGATATTTAGCGTCAACAGTGGTTTGATGCGTGACGTTTGAGATTAAAAGGTAAATATTATATAAAATTATTTAGAAAAGAAAGTTTTTAATTAGAAGAAACTGTGAATTCTTTTTCATTAAATTATGATTTACAATTATAGATTGAATTTAACAAATAGATCAGACAACATAAGATTTTCTCAAAATTTTATTGTTATCGAAATATAAAACACACGGAATAAATTTCTGACAATTTCAGAGAATTTCAAGACGTGATGCCTAGAAATGTTGAGATTAAAGCGGCAATTCGAGATGTCCAACGTACTATTTCAAAAGCCACAGAGCTGAGTGATACTGTTCAGACTAAAATCGAGCAATATGATATTTTTTTTAATGTAAAGGATGGGAGATTCAAGTTACGGAAATTTAAGGTAGAATAATTATTGATTTCTCAATACATCCATTTTTAATATATTAATATAATATGTATTTTAATATATTAATATATTAATATATTAAAATACATATTTCAATGCTTAAAGGATATATTATTTTTTAAATAATAATTATATGTTCAAAGAGGAAGAAAACATAAAAGTATAAATTTAGTTTTTTAAAAAACACACATTACACTATACTCTTGATAAAATATTTCTTATTCTATAGGATGGCACAGCAGAGTTGATTTTATATGAACGATCTGATACATCAGGACCAAAGCTATCTTTTTACGAGAGAATACCACTAAGCTCAGATATTACAGAACCAATTGCAAATCTTTTTTCCCGAATCATGGGCATGCGAGGAATCGTTAAGAAGACAAGGCTTTTGTACAATGTCGGACAAACGCGAGTACATATTGATGAAGTCGATGGTTTGGGTAATTTTATAGAATTAGAGGTATGTAAATCGATTGGATTACATTACAAGTAACCTTTTTAAGATTTATACAGTTAAGGGACAATACCATGTTTATACAGGTAGTATTGCAAGATGATGAGGACGTCAAAACTGGACAGAAGATTGCTAATGATCTCATGCAAGTTCTGTTTATAAAAGAAGAAGATTTAATTGCGAAAGCATACATAGATTTGCTTCATCCTGAAACATGAGTATTGTATATATGCTGTCTTATATTTCCTTATAAATATAAAAAAAGATAATAATTTATCCATTTGTACCAATTTCAATTAACTGTAATTTAATTCAATATTTACTCTTCATTTTCTTCAATTCTTAGAATTAAAGTAAGTAAGTTAAAATTAAAATTAATCAATATTATAGGATAGATGTGCATTATTAATTTAACGATACAAAACACTTCTATTTTTTTAATAAATAAATAAATTAAGTACATGTTTTTCTGAAAATAATAATTGTATAATTGTAATGCTATCGTGATAATAAACTTCTGGAAAGAGAAAGAGCGCAAGATTCGGGTGCAAAAGGTGCAAATAACACGAACGAATTATCTGGCGTCGTTGCCAAACTCGGCGGAGGAGCAACGTTTCCTAACCTCGACATTGACTTAATTAATTTTGGAAAGCGGTGTCACATAATTTTATAATTGCGAATTTTGTATTTCATACGCATCAAAATGTCTTACATGCTATCACATTTGGAAAATGGATATCAAGTCGATCAAGCCATTTTATCTGAGGAGGACAGAGTCGTGGTGAGTTTGTTGGTAGTTTAATTTGATCTACCACTTCGTTTATTATTATAATCAACATTAAATCGATTGCGATTGAATTATAATCTATCTATTTCCAGGTGATTCGCTTTGGGCATGATTGGGATCCGATGTGTATGAAAATGGACGAGGTGCTTTACAATATCGCAGAGAAGGTCAAGAACTTCGCTGTTATTTATTTGGTAGACATTACAAAAGTACCAGATTTCAATAAAATGTATGTAGAAATTTGGATATTTTATACTGAAATCTATGCATTTCATTAATAACTAATCAAATTGTAGGAATAAATCAATTTAGTTAAAAAGTACTTAATCAATCCTGATCACTAGCGCATGTTATAAAGTATATGCAGTGATATATAAAATTATTATATAATATACGTTTTTTTCAGGTATGAATTATATGATCCATGTACAGTAATGTTCTTCTTCAGAAACAAACATATTATGATAGATTTAGGTACAGGAAACAATAATAAAATAAATTGGACATTGGAGGACAAACAAGAAATGATTGACATTATTGAAACAGTTTATAGAGGTGCAAGAAAAGGTCGAGGTTTAGTTGTTTCTCCTAAAGATTATTCAACTAAATATCGATATTAATTTTTTTGTAAAACAAATTTCTTTTATTTTGAAGAAAGCTATTAATGTTGTACTTATTTAAAAAACATTACATGAAAGAAAAATTAAATTTAATTTGAATTGAACAATTCGCTGTAAACTCGAATTTGTATTGCGTTTATCTTAAAAATAAATGTAAAGGTGTACAAAAAATGAGGGAATTATATGAATAAGTATGTACAGTTCTTGTCAATTATATATGTATTTTTAAGAATTTTATAAAATTTCTTATTTGTTATTTGTTATTGACTCATAAATACATATTCCAACTAATTTCAATTCTAATGATCATATTTCTATTATTTAGAAATATCTTCCAATTCTAGTTGGACTAGATTATTCATTTATCTATTAATATATATAATTAATAACTTGTTGCTAAGCAAGTTATAATTTGATATCACATAAATTCTGACATGTATGCTAATATGGAACAGATAAAATCACAATTATTTATAAAAAATAAAATATGTAACATTGTTTCTATTCTAAGAATTCTATTTTGTATTCTATTAACATAATTATATTTACATATAATTACAGTTCATACTTTGGTCTAATAATTATATATTCGATGATCAGTTTAATATATGTGTAGTCATATGTAATTCAGTCATGTTTTTCACATGTCTGCAAGAAATTATTATTATTAAATAAATAATGAAAAAATCATATAACATGTATTCTGAAACATATCAAACTTACTAGTTGTTGCATAATGTATGCTATCGCCATCGGTTGATTTTGAACAAACTAATAAAGGAAGGCTGTCTTGTGGTAAATTTTCTGTATTTAGCCTATATGAAGAATCTCTCAGTGATTTATAAAAGACACAATCAAAAGTTCGGGATTTTCCTAGAAAATAACTATTCGTCAATACCGTTCTTACAATAAAAACCATATAATAGTGATATAATTTACGTTGTCACTAACCCGCAGTAGTGTGATGAGTTTTTACATTTATGGCACTCGTTGATTTGCACTGCCTCAAATCTTAAAATAAAATTATATGAAAAGAAATGTAACATGTAATAATTTAAACTCATGAGAGATTTTGTTCCAGTCTTACCCCTATTTTCTGTACTTTCTGCAGTTGACCAAGAAGAAAGATTGCAAATTGATTTCAGAGATTCCATAGATATGGCGTTATGTTTTTTCACTGGAACAATGCAATATTAATATATATTATTACGTTAGAAAGAATAATATAATAGAGAAAAATATAATTATTTTTGCAATATAGAACTGATTCAACCAAGCAGTTTTGTTAGCTACAAATTTTTTTTAACAAAATATTGCAATAACAAAGTTTTGCTTTTTAACATTATGCCAAAAATATAATTTGCTTGTTCCATATTGCACTACATCCAGTTGATGAACGATTACATCAAGCATACTTCAATCAGCTACAAAGTTATTTCCAAACTATATATAGCAATAAATAATATATTGTGTATTTAGCTTAAAAAGGAACTAATAGATGGATATATGAGTGAATTAAATGAAATGACCCAACAAGAGAAAGAGGAAAAGCAAAACGAAGAAAGACAACGCGATCCAAGCATTTGTTCCTACCTCATCACGTATTAGATAGTTGGAGAGACTCTCATTCTGTAGTACAAAACAGATTAGTATTATTTCTATCGTGCTTTCTTCAATATTATTAATAATATTACCATAAGAGAAAAAAATGTCTAGTCCGCTACAGAGGATAGAATAGATATATACATATATGTTAAATATGTATTACATACATATTTCAAGATTGTTGACTAGATTTGTGTCTGAATTCGTTGTATCTTTGGTTTTCTTAGAGGTGTTCTCATATATTGGCTCAACTGGCGGTGGCTTATCTACGAGAAAATAACATGAGTTTTTCTATTGGAAAAAGTATATTGCGGATAATATTGTGAAAGGTACTTACAAGTTTTTAGGAAATAAGGATTCTTGAGTACTTGTTTTATACAATTATATATATAAGCGTATTGACTCTAAAAACAAAAAGTTCTTTCTATGTTATACAAATTTAAGATTATGCAAATCAAAATCAATATAGTGTCTTATAAATAGAATGTTTTTAAATTCACAACAAATCGATATATAATGTGAATTCTGAAACGTATTATCAATCTTTTCTTAATAAAAAAGATTTGATTTTTTTCATAACAACGTCCTAAATTTCAACGTTCGATATCTTATATAAATATGGATTATGAATGCTTTTTTACTATCGTAATCTATTTATATTTTAATAATTTTTAATTTTTAATATTTTAGTAATATATGACTATGTAATCACTTACTTCTCTTTGTACCATATTTATTCTATGATGTCGTAATCTATATACAGTCCCGAATACATCCAATTTCCTATTATCTCTAATTTGTTGTAGAAGAATATCTATCGCTATCAATGTTCCTGTCCTTCCAATTCCCGCACTGTAAAGTAATAATATATATATTTTCGTATAATAGCAATGATTTAAAGTAAAATGGATTTATTTACTATTTTGTATTTTTTAATACAATTGCATTTGTTTATACCTGCAATGAACGACAATGAAACCTTTATTAGTGCTAATATTACGGCGCATTATTTGACAGAAATTGATCATTGCATCGAAGTCTTCTGGAACATCGTGATCGGGCCAGTCTTTAAAGTGCAAATGAGTGATGTTTCTCTTTTTATTTTCCTGTAATTATTAGTATCGTATATACATCCTTTGTAAAAGTTTTCTAGAAACATACTATTCATATAACATACTAGTCACATAAAAAAGCATACTTTTTGTAACACAAGTGTTCTTTGGGTATGTGTTCGATAATCCAATTCACTCGTACATCGTATCGTCATGTTCTCGTATCGGAAAGTTTCACTGATCGCCGGAAAATACTGATGACATTTTTCCTAAAAAAAAAAGAGAAGTGATAAACGGCATTGATATTATTATCGAATTATTATCGATAATTATAATCTACTTTGCCCTTCTCGACCAACTGCGTCAGCATAACTATGATATTAATGTTGTACTGATTGACCATTCTCCAGAAATCGTAAGTGGTTTCTTCCTTCGGGCCTTGGCAAGCTATATATTCGTCTTCTCCCGTATATCCCTGATGCAAAATGAATTTTATTAACTTTTTTCGTTTCGAGATATCGACAATCGAAGAATGTTCAATGAACAAATAATATTCATTAAAAAATAAAATGTTTATGTCTTCTTTAACAAAACTTATCAAAAAATTATGTGAAACATTTACCCTTATGAATGAAGCGTTGATATAATCCGTGTTAGGATCGTTGTCTATCACATCTAGCTTTACTCTTGAAAAATCATCTAAAAGCATAAATTACAAATAATACTTGGTACAAAATCGCCACAAGGAATACGAAATAATTGTAAAATAATTTCATACAGGGCAAAATATCAGAGTAGCGATTTTTCTTTCGATTAGCTTGCAAGCAGGCAGTATTCGTGGGCATTTGTAAGTCAACGCTGAGCGTTTGAAGTAATCGAAATTCATTGCTTAACTTCCCAGGATTGTCCACCAATTGTTGACAATGGTTGATGAATTTTTTTCTGGTGAACGGCGCTGGCACAGGTGAGCCAGGCATGTCAGAGTGAAGGAATCTTCGAATCACTCTGAAAAAAGGGATTATGACCAATAAATTATTTTATAAAGCGTAGCAAAGTAATAAGATGATTAATATATCTTATCATATATTTAATCAATAAACAAGCAATAAAAAAATAATAAGGATAAGATACGAAATGTGTGTGTGTGTGTGTGTGTGTGTTTGTTTTTTATATATATTGTTTATTATGTATGTGCGTGTGTGTGTTGTTTT